TCAGCATATCATACTCTATTCTCGGGGACTGGTATTCACTTTCTTAATGAAGGAAATGCAATCTCACGTGAACAGTATGCCAAAGGTTACTGTCTTTTAGCATTTGATTTAACTCCTGATTTATCAGCTAACTCATCAGCCCATTGGAATCTCATAAAGCATGGTAGTGTAAGATTAGAAGTACGATTTGAATACTCACTAATACAAACAATTAACTGTATTGTTTATGCTGAGTTTGATAATATTATTGAAATAGATAAAAATAGAAATGTTACTGTAGACTATAGTAGTTAGGATTATAATGTGTATTGTGTTTTAGATATATGTGTTACGCTTAATGCATTTTGTGTGTGTAACTAAAGGTAACATTATAAAATTTAATAAAACAAAATGTATGCAATGTACTATTTTTTATTTACTTATAAACCTTCCCTATTTAATCTTATACAATATACTACTTATAATTAAAGTAGAGAAGAGAGTATCCGAGCATCACCATACGATGAATCGAACAGTTCACGCTTCTCCATTTCATCACAAACTTTTATATCATTAGGTAACATATACTATTAGTTTATCTATGATTAGTTTATAAACATCTTTAGAATCCTTAATTTGTATTAATATGACTAATCCACTAATGAGTGAGTGTTATTGTTAAAAAAGTATTTTTTTACTTTTTCACTTTCTGCTATTGTCTTTGTAATATTGTATACGAGACCGTTTGTGTTGTCGTAGATGCTATCCTTATAATTCTTTACGTAATATTTAATCCTCGTGGTAGCGTGCTTCCAGTGATCACTAGTTAGAATCTTGGATAGTTTCTTCATATCTTACATTTCAATTTTTATGAGATGAGATGATGATGAGATGTCGTCAGAATTTGTAGAGCTGTATGATACGCCATCTTTAACAGCTCGTGCCACAGTCGACGATAGCAGCTTCCTCCATTTTATTTTTGGTGCCACTTCAAAAAATTTATCAATCGGTTGCGATTTCCTTTATCCACCATCGTCTGTGTTATTAACGACGATGTCATCACTCTCTTCTTCATGTTGGGGAGAGAGAGGCGAGTAGTAATACTGTTTATAGGTATTTACATTATCGTCTGCGAAGCTGAATGATCTCTGCAACAACAGAGTTATCACGTTAATATCAATTTGATTAATCTGACACACACACACACACATACACACGTAAGGAAACAACAACAGAAATACAAGTAAGTTTGTCAATAGAATAAACACTTACCTCCATGATGCGTTGAAGTAGGTAACACAAACGTAGTATTGGTAGACGTATACAATTCACTGTGGTCAAACGACCATACACTGATTGCATGACTGCAATTGTTCCATCATATATAGTCCATTCTTATCTAAAACATGACACACACATACACATCCCTAAGTACAACGAAACTCTATGAATCAACAAACTTATCTCACATCACAACAGGCATGAACCTGTTTTGTGACTTACACAAAGAATGCGATTGTTTTATTTACAAATCACTATCATTGAACATTCCTATGACAACCATTTTATAGATTGGTACTGTAATAATCTGCTAATAACAGTAATATCATGGATACACTAGAATTACAAAAACATATGAAAAAGATTCATTCCAGTCTAGAAAATAATGTTTATGCTGCTAATAGACTACCTATGTACACACATGTACCAACGTATATAATATGCAATTTGGATGCGGATGATAAACCAGGGTCACACTGGGTAGCCATACATATCGATACAAATGGTATCGGCCAATATTTTGATTCATATGGATGAACACCTGAGCGATATCATCTTCAGTTTTTGAAGAGGAATTGTAAGAGGTGGGACTGGAATGTTGATAGGATTCAGAATGATTGGACTTCGGTTTGTAGCGAATATTGCTTAATGTATTTGCTATTTAAGTTTCAGGGATGTTCAATGCATAGTTTTACGAACATATTTACAGGAAACACGCTGTACAATGATAATTTAGTGGATAAGATGTTCCACTCATATTTTGTAAAATGAAAGTAATAAAATTTCGAAATAAAAATGAATGATTGTGTTTTATTGATGATATAGAAAATCAGACAAAATGAAGTTAACAATGAGTAATAGATAAGAACGCCAAAGCAACCGTAATGAGAGAGTTCGAAGCACAATAGATAATGATAACGATAGGCGAACAATGGGACGTTAAGTAATGTAACGATAAGCAAACAAAGGAACGTTAATGAGGGTTCAGAAGCTGATTCTGATTTTCATAACTCCAGAACCACGCATCCTACGCTAAAACGGACTGCAGAAACGTGATCAGAGCATGCCAAAACCTAGGATAGCATACCAAACTTTTTTTTTTTTTTTTTTTTTTTTAGGTTTGGTGCCACTCAGATTTTGGATTCCGGGTGATTAGCTGGTTCTGGCGCTTGCGCCAGAACCAGCTAATCACCACTACTGGCGCCCTCCAGCTAGAGTGGACTGACGACATCCGCAGGGTGGCTAGCAGTCGTTGGATGAGAAGAGCTGAACATCGAGCTCAGTGGCGTGCGATTAGGGAGGCCTATGTCCAGCAGTGGACGACAACAGGCTGATGATGATGATTAAGGGGCCGTTCAAGTATTACGTAAGCAGATTTCTTACCATTTTTTACCCCCCCGCTCCCCTTGTCATAAAAAATAAGCAAAGCACTTACTCCCTCCCCCTATGCTTACGTAAACATTTTTAGTAATAAATGTTTTTTTATATTGTTATTTTTAAAATAGGAAAATTCATGGAAATATTAGGTTTAACTGATACACATAGAGTAAATGACAAAAAATATAATCAGAAATAAAGAACATAACTAACATAAAGAATATTTTCGGAACACATTAACAGTCTTCAGTCCATGAAACCTGAATCCATGATTCTAAGTTATCGATGACATTGGATTGCTGCTCAGTGTTGTGAGTCTGCCCATTTTCATCCGATTTTGGAATGTCTACGTCACTCTCATCGAGCCATTCAACATCTTGGTGCTCTAAATTTTGAATAATGCACATCAGTTCATTAGCACGACGAGCAGCGACTCTTACAGGTCTAACTTTTCCCTCTGTGGGCGTGTTTACTTTTTATAGATCTTCTCGATGTGACGATTTAATGATTTGACGGAAGCATGATAAAGACCACACGTTTTGCATGTTCGGCTTGAGAGCCTCAACTTTACCGTCGGACAAAAATAATCGTAGGGCATTTGCAAAAAATCTTTGAGGGTAGTTCTGCTGGACATTCTCTTATTAAGCTACATAAATTCATCGTATTTAATAAAACCAGCGTTTAAATATTATTGAAAGCTTTTCCCCATAGAAACCCTTCACATACAGATATTGAAAACACCGTGTATTTTGTGACCAATTGCCGGAGTAAATCTTAAGAAATAAAATATCAATCATTTACCTTTTTACTTTGAGATAGGCCATCATATTTTTTACTCATAAATCGTTTTAATTGTTACAGAACGTAAAGAGAAACTTTGTACTTATATTTACTCACCGTGGAAAAAAAATGAAGCAGATTGGATTTATTTTTAGTCGCCGCTTGCAATTCTTCTTCGATTCTCTTAGATACAATAATATCTAGTTCCTTATCTGTCTTTGCTTGTAATTTATAATTACGCCAAACTTCGTTAACTAACTTTTGTACATTTTGCACTTTTGTCCCAGTATGAGATTTTTAAAACTTTCGAACAGTTTTTGGTATAACTTGGATTTGTCTATATGATATGACATTCTAATAAGATATTTAAATTTAAATAATTAAAACGTTAAACTTTGGCTAATTGCATCAACATCACACAACCACACAACAACACAAATGATAACTTTCAATGCTTACAATACGTTTAGAAACAAAACAAAACAATACTGATAGATGCGCACTTGCAGCTGGCCGGCACGAGAGCGAATTATAAGACAAGTGAATAGCGCACGGTAATTTCCCTAATGCGCGGTAATTCCCCTAATCAGTTCTCAAAGCGAGTGCCTACGCATATGTATTATTTGCGGGAATCCCCGAAAAAACTTGAATAACTAACGATGACGTAATCATCATCTAGACCCCCCACCCCCCATGTCATCCAAAATAAGCAAAACAGAGACCCCCCCACCCCCCCTTGGTGCTTACGTAATACTTGAACAGCCCCTAATATATTTTATGCGTCGTTCTAATTTAATTTCAAAAAAGCCAACTGCTAAACATAGATCTCCCCCAATGACTTCCATCTGCTGCAATGTATCTCATTCCATGATCGAGAGGTTGAATTCGATGTGCATCCAGACCACTCCTAAAGTGTTAGTCAGGGCGAAAGTTTTTATAAAAAAGTGAGCTATATGAATTAAAAACCATTAATAAATCATGATGCGTTATTCAAAACATCACAGAATGAATACAAATTGAAAATGTTTTAAATTATCAATAAAGGATTATAGTACTATCAAAGGTAGTGTTTTGTTTATTTAATGTGTATTTCGGTATTTGACCTTTCCAAAAATAAAAAAAGTGTTATTTATGTTCATAAAACTCGTCACTTTTAATAAGAGACCCGAAAAATATTTAGCAAATATATTCGGTTCACATCATCAGCTTATAAATGCACACTGCTCATCATAGGCCTCTTCTGACACAGAGAAGGTTTGGGCATTAATTACGATGCTTGATCAAGGCGGATTGGTGATTTTAAATTACAAATTATAGTTTAATTATTATGTAAATGAAAACATAATAATTAATTTAGAATTTCTCACGAAAGTTTTTAAATAAATTATAGTTTGTCTGTGGCATCTGAATGAACATTAAAAATAAAATATAACTCGGAAAGTTACATTAGTAAGTACTTGCCAGGTTTCGAAATCTCATGCATATACGTATGTATGTATGTATACACTCACTACTACTACGACTACTACTACTTTTATTATTAGACTATTTAATAATTTATAGATTCTGTCTTTCCTACTTACACAATAGCATTAACTCCTCGGCAGTACCTCTCCCACATGGAGCGGAACCTGGGCTGGCCACCGATGTCCCAAACCTGAAAATATAAAAGAAAAAAAAATGTATTGCAACAAAAATTTGTGGTTGTATAGGAACAGCTGAAGAATAAACTCAATGGCGGCGTATCATAGAGGTCGAAAAGACGAGCGACCTTGTTATCCCGGGCGTCCATTAAAACCTCATATGACAACCCCTTCGAGAACAAAAACTACTTCTTTGATTTCTACTTACATTTTTGGTGTATTGTCTTGAAATACTGTTATAAAACCTGCATACTATTTATCGTTATCACCAAGAGCTAAATTAAACATGATTTATCTGAAAATCCATATAGCAATTAACACTTAACTGGGTGAAACCTAGTTGCCATAAGAAAAAAATTGTCTAAGTAGTCAAATATTTGGCTAAGTAAATAAAAACTAATAAAAAAATCAATAAAAGAAGCTCCTAAATCGTAGTAAAATACTAATAACTATTTACCTTAATAGTAACATTTCCTTTGGTGATTTTGCGCATGTTGAATCCTACTGTCGGTATCATGTCTTCACTGAATTGCCCAGACTGTCAAAAAAGAATAAAAAGCATTACCATAGACCAAATTCTACAACTTATGTTAATAAAATTTATACATAACAAGATGAAAGGAGGTATTGTGTACCTACTTCAAAAAAAACTAAATTCATAATAGAGAATGTAACCATTCATAAAAAAAAATGTGATCATCTATTTTAGGCACACAAGTAGGCTGATAGCTGTGATGGAATAATAAAATGATTTACTGTTGCAAATTTTTTAATTAACAATGGCAAATATAAATTACTATAACAATTATTTTATGATTCATTAAATTAATGAGAATAACTAAAAATGACAAGGCTTAACATGATTATATTTAGTAAACTGTCTACTAAAGCAACATACATCTTTTCTGTAAAGCCCACATTGTGCGCAAATGTTAATGTAACAGTATATTTTAATAATAGGCAGATTACCAGCATCTCCCATTACGACAAAACATTCTCATACATGGAGTGTTATCAAGTTTTTTGATAAGAGATTATTTTCATGTTTCATTGAATTAATTAATTAATCAAAACATGGTAAAAGTTATTGAACTTATGCACAAACATTTTGGAAAAATAAACTATAATACCAAACTAGATTTATATATCAATGGTAACACTTCTTTGGTTCTTCTTTATGTATGTGCACTTTTGTCAATTTTATATTATTTGGTATCTTTTTGTGTTGGATCCATAATATGACATTGGATTTAAAAAATGCACACTGTCCTGCCCATACTGCCGCATATTAAGTTAGGAGTCTAATTCATGCATTATTAGTATATAGGTTTGAATGTGTAATGAAATTAATATTGGGTCTTTATAAACATTAACAGTAGTAAAGTCTATAAATAATAAAAAAGAGACCTCTATAACCAGCAGCTGAAAATATAGATAATAATATGTTTAATCATCAAACAACTCATTTCCTTAATTTTAATTTAGATAATCTAGTGGGCTTCAAATATATTTTCATAATTCAAATTATGAACTTAGTTTCATTTAAGGATATTCTTCTATGTATGTTTAACCTACCTAGTCAACAATGAATCTAAAATGTAGGCATTGCATGAATCATATTGAGATTAAAGTCAAGGATTATTGATTGTTGCTAGATATATGTACAATACATTATTTTATATTTAGCTTACAATTTCAAGGACATGATCCTATTTCTAGACTTGAAATGATTATATTTTAAAGAATAGAAATAGATGAACAGATGGATGGAATAATTAAATAACTTTTTAATATAAATATAATTTATATGTGGAGAGGAATTTTGCAACAAAATTTTAAAGCATAAGATATCTTCAACTAATTGAGTAGAAATTTTGTAAGGTATTCCTAACAAAAATGTGTGGTATGCATTAATTAGTTAGCATGACCATAAATGACTTATTTATGGCCATATACTCGTAAAGTATAAACATCTTTACATCTTCTCTTAAAGCATAAGTCTCCAAATAGTTTAGTATTGTTGTCAGTCTGGCATTCCCTTTCGAGAACTTGTTTGATGACTTCCCAGATCAAATATGTGTTTAGTCTTGTAACCTACCAGACAAAAACTTTTAAAAAAGTCTTTATACTTAAAATTCCTTAACTTCAATTATTACTACACAACAGCTATAATGTAATAATTTATTTTGTAATTATAGTCATTAGTTAATGATGGTATTTAAATGTGTGAAAAAACAGTGAGTGAAATGTGAATGTTTAACTAAAACTGTACTATAAATGATAATATTCATGCATTCCCTTACCCAGTATCCATAATATAATTACCAGAATAAAGGAAGCTTAGAATCTACAAGATAAGATGAAGGGTAAATGAACTACACTGGATGGAATTATTACAGTGACATTGGGATCGGACATGAGATAATTTATTACTGTTGATTGAAATGTGATCCTTCATGTTACATATAAAAACCATACATATATGTTGATATGTAGTGCACATATTTGTGTTAAACTTGTTTATTATATGATAAGCATGGTCATTATTGATTTAGTTTGTGTTTGGTAGATAGATTCTGTATGTAATAAATATCTGTGAGGAATACACACTTCTTTTTTATTTAGAAAGCTTTTTAAAGTTAATGACATTGCTGAATTTTTAAACATGATGGTAGTTATTTTAAATAATTATAAACTCTTATGCTTAGATCTACTGTAATAGAATTTTGATTGGATAGCACACTATGGCCAGACAGTTTCTTTGTGTTAATTTTATGATGTATTTAATTTTATGGGTGCAATGAGCAAAGAGCCAAATTTCACATTAAAATTTAGGAGTTCAACCTTTTTGACATTCTTTGCTACGTTCTTTTATAGTGAATGACACAAAAAAACAACATAATGAACAATGAGATCACACAATTCTAACAGACGATACATAATCATTGGAAAATAATAAAAATAATGATTTGAAAGCCATTTCTACAGGTCCAACATTGTTGGTACATTATAAAATTGATCCAATATTTATATGAAATCGCATTAGAATTGTGTAAAGACTATGAGGAAGTTAAAACAACATAAAAATATTGTTTTCAGAGAATACTAACGGCAATGACGTTAACAAAAGTTGTTTTCCCCGAGTACTGCAATCCAACCAGTGTCAGCTCCATCTCTTCTTTCCAAAACAAGCTTTTAATCCAATCAAGGATACGATTGATTATAGCAAGCATTTTTAACGATAAAACCACTGTGCTTTAGGCAAAAAACGTAAATTAATGAACGCCTCTTCCGAAAATCTGCTGTACAATTTGATTGACAGATATCAATCCACGTTTAGTTAACACTTTGTGATGACGTGGTCGAAGTCATAGTAAAATTTATTTTTACTGTTAAATAAGTGATTGAATACATTCAAAGCAATTATCAACCAGTAAATATTTTTCTTCGTCGTTTGAATTTAGTTGTTTTCGTTACTTCTCTCTATTTTTTTGTAATACAAATTTGGAAATAGTAACTAAACGTATCAAATTACTGTCAAACTTAGTGTAGCCATTAACCAAAAAACTTGAAGTGTTACCACTTAAGACTTAAATTATAATATTATAATACAAAAAAGGTGAAGTTATCTCATTGACAGAATTAAACTTTACTACTACTTTGCTGAAAAACGGTTAAGAATTATTTACAAACAAATAGGTACTTAATTATTTTATAGAGCACATGTGTGCACGTACCTATACCTGAATGTATAGGTGTAGTATGACGACAATACCTAAGTTGTAGGTTGTAAATACACTGTATACATAGCAATACTAATCTGTGACACCTACTGACAAGTGTCTTGGCCGTTCTTGACCCATAGAAGTCATAAGATATTTTATGAGTTTTAATTTAGACCTAACATTAGCCTTGTCTCCCGGGCACTGTATTATTGACAATAAGGCATTATTTACGGAGACACGGCGCGGTGCACGACGCTGTGTTATACATTGCTCATAATGTTCACACGTTTGTTTTTTTGACACGGTCTGCTGCAGCAATGTACGACAAACGAACACACGACGCGCCCGCGCCTGGCAGCCTAACTGGTAGTCGCGACACTCGCATCGAAGCCTTATTTATACGATAGACAACTTGGAAATAATACTCAATCCGATGACCAAAATGCAGAGAAAGTCGCACTGGTACTCGACCGACGAAGCAGTTTGGATTATCAGCATTTGGAAATATACTTAGGTATATTTCATAAAACCGGAACAAAATCAAGTATAACGTCAGGTGACGAGGTGGCCAAACAACTTTGCTCAATGTCGAGTTATGTAAATATGAAGAACTGCGTTGTAGGTATGTGAAGCTAAACAATTTGTGCAACGACTAAAACTTTTTTTTTAAGCGTTGCCCCACACTAGGATTTTCTCCTGTATCGTGGGTGCGGTTACAAACATACAATTTTACATACCTACACATGACACTGCGGACACAACAATTTGTGGATCACACGAAGAATTGTTCCGTGCGGGAATCGAACCCGCGACACGTTGCACGGCAGCCAGTTACCCAGCCACCGCACCAACCGTGCTGTCATCAGATTTTTAGCTATGAATCATAAGTCAGTTTAAACAACAGATTTATCTATAAACAAGCATAGAAACGCATATACAAGATATCTGGGTACTGGGAACTATTACTTACATTTTACTTACTAGACAGGTATATAATTAAGAAAAAAAATGGTTTTGTGGAGTTGCGGAAAAGCCTTGCTTCGGCACAAGAGGCGCGCTTGACCGGAGGGATAACCACGGCGAGAGACAACGCTTTTATTGTTTTGAGAGGGGAAAATTATCAAATGACTTCCCTCGCTCAGTGTAAGGCTAGAAGGAGAGTCAAACTCTTACTGACTAAAAGCTGTTGTGTGTTCCATCTCCTGCTCCAAACTTACGTGGCACCTTATTCCTTGTGTTATGTGTCTTCGAGAGTGAGGCTACCGCGGAGGCCTTCTTCTTTCCCTCTCTTTCCGCAATCTACCAATTCATCAACTCAATTCCTTACAAACCTCACAAGAGCAGTACCTATTGCATTTATTTCTAACTTTATTGAAAAAAACAGATCACACTTTATACAGATAGCTCAATTGTGTGGGAGAGCCATACTCCGGCACGAATGGGCCGGCTCCACTGGAATGATTTTATTTATTTATTTATTAAGAATATTTACATATACAACATTACAGCTTACGCCATTAAGTTATATTGTTAATTTTATTTTATTTTATACTATTATCTAGGTACTTAAAAAAACTAATTAGGATTAAATACAAAAAACAATGATACAACGCCAGTAGTGGTGATTAGCTGGTTCTGGCGCACGCGCCAGAACAAGCTAATCACCCGGAATCTAAAATCTGAGTGGCACCAAACCTAAAAAAAAAAAAAAAAAAAAAAAAGTTTGGTATGCTATCCTAGGTTTTGGCATGCTCTGATCACGTTTCTGCAGTCCATTTTTGCGTAGGATGCGTGGTTCTGGAGTTATGCAAATCAGAATCAGCTTCTGAACCCTCATTAACGTTCCTTTGTTTGCTTATCGTTACATTACTTAACGTCCCATTGTTCGCCTATCGTTATCATTATCTATTGTGCTTCGAACTCTCTCATTACGGTTGCTTTGGCGTTCTTATCTATTACTCATTGTTAACTTCATTTTGTCTGATTTTCTATATCATCAATAAAACACAATCATTCATTTTTATTTCGAAATTTTATTACTTTCATTTTACAAAATATGAGTGGAACATCTCATCCACTAAATTATCATTGTACAGCGTGTTTCCTGTAAATATGTTCGTAAAACTATGCATTGAACATCCCTGAAACTTAAATAGCAAATACATTAAGCAATATTCGCTACAAACCGAAGTCCAATCATTCTGAATCCTATCAACATTCCAGTCCCACCTCTTACAATTCCTCTTCAAAAACTGAAGATGATATCGCTCAGGTGTTCGTCCATATGAATCAAAATATTGGCCGATACCATTTGTATCGATATGTATGGCTACCCAGTGTGAACCTGGTTTATCATCCGCATCCAAATTGCATATTATATACGTTGGTACATGTGTGTACATAGGTAGTCTATTAGCAGCATAAACATTATTTTCTAGACTGGAATGAATCTTTTTCATATGTTTTTGTAATTCTAGTGTATCCATGATATGACTGTTATTAGCAGATTATTACAGTATCAATCTATTCAATGGTTGTCATAGGAATGTTCAATGATAGTGATTTGTAAATATTAAATCGCATTCTTTGTGTTAGTCACAAAACAGGTTCATGCCTGTGGTGATGTGAGATAAGTTTGTTGATTCATAGAGTTTCGTTGTACTTAGGGATGTGTATGTGTGTGTCATGTTTTAGATAAGAATGGACTATATATGATGGAACAATTGCAGTCATGCAATCAGTGTATGGTCGTTTGACCACGGTGAATTGTATACGTCTACCAATACTACGTTTGTGTTACCTACTTCAACGCATCATGGAGGTAAGTGTTTATTCTATTGACAAACTTACTTGTATTTCTGTTGTTGTACGTGTGTGTGTGTGTGTGTGTCAGATTAATCAAATTGATATTAACGTGATAACTCTGTTGTTGCAGAGATCATTCAGCTTCGCAGACGATAATGTAAATACCTATAAACAGTATTACTACTCGCCTCTTTCTCCCCAACACGAAGAAGAGAGTGATGACATCGTTGTTAATAACACAGGCGATGGTGGAAAAAGGAAATCGCAACCGATTGATACATTTTTTGAAGTGGCACCAAAAATAAAAAGGAGGAAGCTGCTATCGTCGACTGTGGCACGAGCTGTTAAAGATGGCGTATCATACATCTCTACAAATTCTGACGACGGAGGCCAAGCGACGCATCTCATAAAAATTGAAATGTATGATATGAAGAAACTATCCAAGATTCCAACTAGTGATCACTGGAAGCATGCTACCACGAGGATTAAATATTACGTAAAGAATTATAAGGATAGCATTTACGACAACACAAATGGTCTCGTATACAATATTACAAAGACAATAGCAGAAAGTGAAAAAGTAAAAAAATACTTTTTTAACAATGACAGTCACTCATTAGTGGACTAGTCATATTAATACAAATTAAGGATTCTAAAGATGTTTATAAACTAAACATAGATAAACTAATAGTATATGTTAACTAATGATATAAAAGTTTGTGATGAAATGGAGAAGCGTGAACTGTTCGATTCATCGTATGATGATGCTCGGATACTCTCTTCTCTACTTTAATTATAAGTAGTATATTGTAGAAGATTAAATGGGGAAGGTTTATAAATAAATAAAAAATAGTACATTGCATACATTTTGTTTTATTAAATTTTATAATGTTACCTTTAGTTACACACACAAATGATATTCTATTCTATTCAAAATGCATTAAGCGTAACACATATATCTAAAACACAATACACATTATAATCCTAACTACTATAGTCTACAGTAACATTTCTATTTTTATCTATTTCAATAATATTATCAAACTCAGCATAAACAATACAGTTAATTGTTTGTGTTAGTGAGTATTCAAATCGTACTTCTAATCTTACACTACCATGCTTTATGAGATTCCAATGGGCTGATGAGTTAGCTGATAAATCAGGAGTTAAATCAAATGCTAAAAGACAGTAACCTTTGGCATACTGTTCACTTGAGATTGCATTTCCTTCATTAAAAAAGTGAATACCAGTCCCCGAGAATAGAGTATGATATGCTGATGTAAATATATTATTATTAAAAGATGGTTGCAAAGCTTTGGATGGTATTTATTGACCATCAATATATAAGCTGAAAGAGTTAATACCATAATTTTCAAAGTTAAATGGATTTTTAGTTAGTGAACCATTAAATGCAGAATTATTCACAAAACCTATATTACATCTTTTGGGTACCTGTCCTAAGAGTTTTTCCTCGAACACCCGATGGAATTGTTAAAACTTTAACTTCAGCTAGAGTAATAGGATATTTAGCAGTGGTAGAAGCTAAAACTTTCTGATGAGCGAGTAATACACTTGGATTAATTCGTGCCCCTCGAACAATAAGAGTTGCGTTCGTAATGCAAACTTTAAACTTTACATCATTTGACCCAGCAAATGGGCATTACTCTCTGGTTTATATCTTGTATGTAAAAGTGTAGATCGGGTAGCATCTTACGCAATTCATGGAAATAAACTAAAATTTACTGGTATTTCTTTTCCGGTTAAAATTGCAGATATATCAAAAGTTGAGAAATTAAACAATATTAGTATTAATGTTTTTGGTTTAGAGTATAATAAAGAAAAAAAGTGTAATTCTGTTGTAGGTCCTTTATATTTAACAAAATGTCGTACACCTAATGATATTAACCTACTATATATATCGAATGGTATTAAAAATCATTACTGTTATATTAAAAACTTATTGCGATTAGTTAGTTCACAAATATCAAGACAACATCGTAGAGTTTATATATGTGATTCATGTTTACTTCATTTCCCATCAGAGGAAAGACTTAATAGCTATCGACAATATGATTGCGCTCACATTTGTACGGAATTACCAAACGGTGAGTATTCCAAAAAGGATTGGTTTGGTAAACCGACCTCAAATAATAAAATAAAATTTGACAAATTCATGAAAAAGTTGGAAATGCCCTTTGTGATTTATGCAGACTTTGAGGCATTTTTGAATCCAATAGAATCATGTAGTAACGATCCATCTCAGCCAAGTACGAATAATATTCAAAAACATGAAGTGTATAGTTTTGGATATTATATTAAATGTTCATATGATAACAGATTATCAAAATATGAGACGTATAGTGGGTCAAACTGTGCACAAGTGTTTATGAATCGCCTTTGTGAAGATGTGAAAACAATAGTTAAAAAAAAATAGTTTCCAAGAATGCCCCGTTCCATTATCAGATGAAGATAAAATTAAAATTTCAAATTCAAACATATGTTATATTTGTGAAACTGAGGTAAATGAAGATCTTTTTTACGATTTTGATTGGCACACTGGCAGTTTTAGGGGTGTTGCACATCAATGCATGTGTGTAGTTCTAAGTACAGAACCCCTCGTCATATCCCAATATTCTTACATAACCTCAGTCACTACGATGCTCATTTCATTGTCCATGCATTAAACTTCGATGATGACAAAGTTGAAGTTATTCCACAAAATAAAGAACGATACATATCATTTTCAAAACAGTTAACAATAAATAATCAACCGGTAAGTTTAAGATTCGTAGGTTCATTGAAATTTTTATCGTCTAGTTTAGATCAACTAGCTAAAAATCTTAATGATGATCAGTTTACAGAACTAAAAAGGAACTATCCTAATAATGAAGACTTTTCACGTTTAAGACGGAAAGGTATTTATCCTTATGAATTTATGTGTAATAGTGATTGCTTGAAACATCCATCACTTCCTGATCAACACCAATTTTAAAGTTCACTCACAGATTCAAATATTTCAAATGATGATTATAATCATGCAAAAGATATTTGGTAACATTTTAAGTGTAGTAGTATGTCTGATTATTCCAATTTATATTTAAAAACTGATGTTTTACTTTTGGCTGATGTATTTGAAAACTTTAGAAAGCTTTGTATTAAAACTTATGGATTTAGATCCTGCTCATTACTATACTGCCCCAGGTTTAAGTTGGGATGCAATGTTAAAATTTACCAAAATAGAATTAGAATTGTTAACGGACTATGACAAAATTGCTTTTTTTAAAGCTGGTATTAGAGGGGGTGTATCTCAGTGTAGCAATCGTTTTGCTAGAGCAAATAATAAATTCATGGAAGATTATAATAGTGAAAAACCTAATTCATACCTAACCTATTTTGATGCAAATAATTTATACGGTTGGGCAATGTCTCAATCTCTTCCTGTTGGTGGTTTCGAATGGATTGATTCTAATACAGATTACAATGTATCGGATAACTCTGATTTCGGTTATGTTTTAGAAGTTGATTTGGAATATCCTGATGAACTTCATAATTTGCATTCTGACTTTCCGTTGTGTCCTGAAAACATATGTGTGGGTAATACTAAAGAAACTAAATTAGTTCCTAATTTAAATAATAAAAATAAATACATCATTCACTACAGGAATTTAAAACAATGCATTGAAATGGGGATTAAATTAATTAAAGTATGTACATAGAATTTTAAAATTTAAACAGAGTTCTTGGTTAAAGAAATACATAGACTTTAATTTAAGAACGTTAGCTACATCAAACTTTGAAAAAGACTTTTTTAAATTAATGAACAATTCTGTCTTCGGTAAGACTATGGAAAATATTGAAAAAAGAGTAAACGTTAAACTACTAACTCACTGGGATAATCGTGGTAAAGTTTTAGGTGCTCAGGATTGGATTGCAAAACCAGAATTCCACAGTTTATCAATGATTTCAGAAAATTTAGTCGCAATACAATTACGGAAAACAAAATTAATTTATGATAAGCCGATTTATTTAGGATTTTGTTTTTTAGATTTATCTAAGACCCTAATGTATGAATTTCATTATAACTACATGATTAAAAAGTTTCATAATAAAATTAAGTTATTGTACACCGATACCGATAGTTTGATATATCAAATTTTTACAGACAATTTTATGAGGATATAAAACCAGATCTACTTCACTATTTTGATACATCAGATTACCCGGAAAATAATATTTATGGATATCCAAAAATAAATAAAAAAAGTTGGGTTTTTAAAGGTGAGAATAATGGTAAAGTATTGAAGGAATTTGCAGGGTTGCGATTAAAAATGTATGCATTAGAAATAGAAGATAAATTTATAGCCAAGGCAAAAGGAGTAAACAAAAGTGTTACCAAAAAAAATGAATATGGAAAATTACAAATCGTGTTTGTTTAATAAAAATGTATTATATTGTAGTATGCATCGATTCAAGTCAATCAAACACACTATTTTTACACAAAAAATAAATAAAACATCTTTATCATATAATGATACCAAACGATGTATTATGAACAACAACATTGATATTATAAATTACGTTAAGTGTACCTAACACTTTTTACTTTTATTTCTGTGTGTATATACAAAATTTGTACTAATTGTAAAAGTATGATATTACTATAATGCTATATAATAGTTTATTACATATTTAAAATTTATTGTTTGATTGTAAATAATGTAAAATAATTTTAGTTTTTTGTATGCTTAAATTTGGCGTTGAGGTGATTGTGAAATTCTGATAAGTACTAATTGTGTAAGAAATAGTATACAGATCATTCTATTTTTCACAAATTACATGTTTTGTATAATTTTAGCTAACATTTGGTAAATTATATAAAGGCTGCATTTCATCAAAACACCATGTGATCTGATTAAAATTACAAGTACATATTTCTTTAACTGATTTTATGAAATTTGTTACAAAATTTGACTTCCCACATCCACTTGGTCCTGCCACAATAGCAGTAAACGGATGGATAAAAATAATTTTTAACAAAAAAAAAAAAAAAAAAACCGACTGGCACCGACTTCAAAATTATAAAATAGTTACTAAATATTATTTTCTATTTAACTAAATGAAAGTTTGTATTACTTTAAACAAAGTAAATTTATTTTTTACTTTTGAATTTACTTTTGAAGTTTTTTTTTGTTAAAAATTATTTTTATCCATCCGTTTAATTCCGTAAAAAAACCGACTTCGAAAGTAAATTCAAAAGTAAAAAATAAATTTACTTTGTTTAAAGTAATACAAACTTTCATTTAGTTAAATAGAAAATAATATTTAGTAACTATTTTATAATTTTGAAGTCGGTGCCAGTCGGTTTTTTTTTTTTTTTTTTTTTTGTTAAAAATTATTTTTATCCATCCGTTTAATTCCGTAAAAAAACCGACTTCAAAAGTAAATTCAAAAGTAAAAAATAAATTTACTTTGTTTAAAGTAATACAAACTTTCATTTAGTTAAATAGAAAATAATATTTAGTAACTATTTTATAATTTTGAAGTCGGTGCCAGGGGTTTTTTTTTTTTTTTTTTGTTAAAAATTATTTTTATCCATCCGTTTACTGCTATTGTGGCAGGACCAAGTGGATGTGGGAAGTCAAATTTTGTAACAAATTTCATAAAATCAGTTAAAGAAATATGTACTTGTAATTTTAATCAGATCACATGGTGTTTTGATGAAATGCAGCCTTTATATAATTTACCAAATGTTAGCTAAAATTATACAAAACATGTAATTTGTGAAAAATAGAATGATCTGTATACTATTTCTTACACAATTAGTACTTATCAGAATTTCACAATCACCTCAACGCCAAATTTAAGCATACAAAAAACTAAAATTATTTTACATTATTTACAATCAAACAATAAATTTTAAATATGTAATAAACTATTATATAGCATTATAGTAATATCATACTTTTACAATTAGTACAAATTTTGTATATACACACAGAAATAAAAGTAAAAAGTGTTAGGTACACTTAACGTAATTTATAATATCAATGTTGTTGTTCATAATACATCGTTTGGTATCATTATATGATAAAGATGTTTTATTTATTTTTTGTGTAAAAATAGTGTGTTTGATTGACTTGAATCGATGCATACTACAATATAATACATTTTTATTAAACAAACACGATTTGTAATTTTCCATATTCATTTTTTTTGGTAACACTTTTGTTTACTCCTTTTGCCTTGGCTATAAATTTATCTTCTATTTCTAATGCATACATTTTTAATCGCAACCCTGCAAATTCCTTCAATACTTTACCATTATTCTCACCTTTAAAAACCCAACTTTTTTTATTTATTTTTGGATATCCATAAATATTATTTTCCGGGTAATCTGATGTATCAAAATAGTGAAGTAGATCTGGTTTTATATCCTCATAAAATTGTCTGTAAAAATTTGATATATCAAACTATCGGTATCGGTGTACAATAACTTAATTTTATTATGAAACTTTTTAATCATGTAGTTATAATGAAATTCATACATTAGGGTCTTAGATAAATCTAAAAAACAAAATCCTAAATAAATCGGCTTATCATAAATTAATTTTGTTTTCCGTAATTGTATTGCGACTAAATTTTCTGAAATCATTGATAAACTGTGGAATTCTGGTTTTGCAATCCAATCCTGAGCACCTAAAACTTTACCACGATTATCCCAGTGAGTTAGTAGTTTAACGTTTACTCTTTTTTCAATATTTTCCATAGTCTTACCGAAGACAGAATTGTTCATTAATTTAAAAAAGTCTTTTTCAAAGTTTGATGTAGCTAACGTTCTTAAATTAAAGTCTATGTATTTCTTTAACCAAGAACTCTGTTTAAATTTTAAAATTCTATGTACCTACATACTTTAATTAATTTAATCCCCATTTCAATGCATTGTTTTAAATTCCTGTAGTGAATGATGTATTTATTTTTATTATTTAAATTAGGAACTAATTTAGTTTCTTTAGTATTACCCACACATATGTTTTCAGGACACAACGGAAAGTCAGAATGCAAATTATGAAGTTCATCAGGATATTCCAAATCAACTTCTAAAACATAACCGAAATCAGAGTTATCCGATACATTGTAATCTGTATTAGAATCAATCCATTCGAAACCACCAACAGGAAGAGATTGAGACATTGCCCAACCGTATAAATTATTTGCATCAAAATAGGTTAGGTATGAATTAGGTTTTTCACTATTATAATCTTCCATGAATTTATTATTTGCTCTAGCAAAACGATTGCTACACTGAGATACACCCCCTCTAATACCAGCTTTAAAAAAAGCAATTTTGTCATAGTCCGTTAACAATTCTAATTCTATTTTGGTAAATTTTAACATTGCATCCCAACTTAAACCTGGGGCAGTATAGTAATGAGCAGGATCTAAATCCATAAGTTTTAATACAAAGCTTTCTAAAGTTTTCAAATACATCAGCCAAAAGTAAAACATCAGTTTTTAAATATAAATTGGAATAATCAGACATACTACTACACTTAAAATGTTACCAAATATCTTTTGCATGATTATAATCATCATTTGAAATATTTGAATCTGTGAGTGAACTTTAAAATTGGTGTTGATCAGGAAGTGATGGATGTTTCAAGCAATCACTATTACACATAAATTCATAAGGATAAATACCTTTCCGTCTTAAACGTGAAAAGTCTTCATTATTAGGATAGTTCCTTTTTAGTTCTGTAAACTGATCATCATTAAGATTTTTAGCTAGTTGATCTAAACTAGACGATAAAAATTTCAATGAACCTACGAATCTTAAACTTACCGGTTGATTATTTATTGTTAACTGTTTTGAAAATGATATGTATCGTTCTTTATTTTGTGGAATAACTTCAACTTTGTCATCATCGAAGTTTAATGCATGGACAATGAAATGAGCATCGTAGTGACTGAGGTTATGTAAGAATATTGGGATATGACGAGGGGTTCTGTACTTAGAACTACACACATGCATTGATGTGCAACACCCCTAAAACTGCCAGTGTGCCAATCAAAATCGTAAAAAAGATCTTCATTTACCTCAGTTTCACAAATATAACATATGTTTGAATTTGAAATTTTAATTTTATCTTCATCTGATAATGGAACGGGGCATTCTTGGAAACTATTTTTTTTTAACTATTGTTTTCACATCTTCACAAAGGCGATTCATAAACACTTGTGCACAGTTTGACCCACTATACGTCTCATATTTTGATAATCTGTTATCATATGAACATTTAATATAATATCCAAAACTATACACTTCATGTTTTTGAATATTATTCGTACTTGGCTGAGATGGATCGTTACTACATGATTCTATTGGATTCAAAAATGCCTCAAAGTCTGCATAAATCACAAAGGGCATTTCCAACTTTTTCATGAATTTGTCAAATTTTATTTTATTATTTGAGGTCGGTTTACCAAACCAATCCTTTTTGGAATACTCACCGTTTGGTAATTCCGTACAAATGTGAGCGCAATCATATTGTCGATAGCTATTAAGTCTTTCCTCTGATGGGAAATGAAGTAAACATGAATCACATATATAAACTCTACGATGTTGTCTTGATATTTGTGAACTAACTAATCGCAATAAGTTTTTAATATAACAGTAATGATTTTTAATACCATTCGATATATATAGTAGGTTAATATCATTAGGTGTACGACATTTTGTTAAATATAAAGGACCTACAACAGAATTACACTTTTTTTCTTTATTATACTCTAAACCAAAAACATTAATACTAATATTGTTTAATTTCTCAACTTTTGATATATCTGCAATTTTAACCGGAAAAGAAATACCAGTAAATTTTAGTTTATTTCCATGAATTGCGTAAGATGCTACCCGATCTACACTTTTACATACAAGATATAAACCAGAGAGTAATGCCCATTTGCTGGGTCAAATGATGTAAAGTTTAAAGTTTGCATTACGAACGCAACTCTTATTGTTCGAGGGGCACGAATTAATCCAAGTGTATTACTCGCTCATCAGAAAGTTTTAGCTTCTACCACTGCTAAATATCCTATTACTCTAGCTGAAGTTAAAGTTTTAACAATTCCATCGGGTGTTCGAGGAAAAACTCTTAGGACAGGTACCCAAAAGATGTAATATAGGTTTTGTGAATAATTCTGCATTTAATGGTTCACTAACTAAAAATCCATTTAACTTTGAAAATTATGGTATTAACTCTTTCAGCTTATATATTGATGGTCAATAAATACCATCCAAAGCTTTGCAACCATCTTTTAATAATAATATATTTACATCAGCATATCATACTCTATTCTCGGGGACTGGTATTCACTTTTTTAATGAAGGAAATGCAATCTCAAGTGAACAGTATGCCAAAGGTTACTGTCTTTTAGCATTTGATTTAACTCCTGATTTATCAGCTAACTCATCAGCCCATTGGAATCTCATAAAGCATGGTAGTGTAAGATTAGAAGTACGATTTGAATACTCACTAACACAAACAATTAACTGTATTGTTTATGCTGAGTTTGATAATATTATTGAAATAGATAAAAATAGAAATGTTACTGTAGACTATAGTAGTTAGGATTATAATGTGTATTGTGTTTTAGATATATGTGTTACGCTTAATGCATTTTGAATAGAATAGAATATCATTTGTGTGTGTAACTAAAGGTAACATTATAAAATTTAATAAAACAAAATGTATGCAATGTACTATTTTTTATTTATTTATAAACCTTCCCCATTTAATCTTCTACAATATACTACTTATAATTAAAGTAGAGAAGAGAGTATCCGAGCATCATCATACGATGAATCGAACAGTTCACGCTTCTCCATTTCATCACAAACTTTTATATCATTAGTTAACATATACTATTAGTTTATCTATGTTTAGTTTATAAACATCTTTAGAATCCTTAATTTGTATTAATATGACTAGTCCACTAATGAGTGACTGTCATTGTTAAAAAAGTATTTTTTTACTTTTTCACTTTCTGCTATTGTCTTTGTAATATTGTATACGAGACCATTTGTGTTGTCGTAAATGCTATCCTTATAATTCTTTACGTAATATTTAATCCTCGTGGTAGCATGCTTCCAGTGATCACTAGTTGGAATCTTGGATAGTTTCTTCATATCATACATTTCAATTTTTATGAGATGCGTCGCTTGGCCTCCGTCGTCAGAATTTGTAGAGATGTATGATACGCCATCTTTAACAGCTCGTGCCACAGTCGACGATAGCAGCTTCCTCCTTTTTATTTTTGGTGCCACTTCAAAAAATGTATCAATCGGTTGCGATTTCCTTTTTCCACCATCGCCTGTGTTATTAACAACGATGTCATCACTCTCTTCTTCGTGTTGGGGAGAAAGAGGCGAGTAGTAATACTGTTTATAGGTATTTACATTATCGTCTGCGAAGCTGAATGATCTCTGCAACAACAGAGTTATCACGTTAATATCAATTTGATTAATCTGACACACACACACACACACACGTACAACAACAGAAATACAAGTAAGTTTGTCAATAGAATAAACACTTACCTCCATGATGCGTTGAAGTAGGTAACACAAACGTAGTATTGGTAGACGTATACAATTCACCGTGGTCAAACGACCATACACTGATTGCATGACTGCAATTGTTCCATCATATATAGTCCATTCTTATCTAAAACATGACACACACATACACATCCCTAAGTACAACGAAACTCTATGAATCAACAAACTTATCTCACATCACCACAGGCATGAACCTGTTTTGTGACTAACACAAAGAATGCGATTTAATATTTACAAATCACTATCATTGAACATTCCTATGACAACCATTGAATAGATTGATACTGTAATAATCTGCTAATAACAGTCATATCATGGATACACTAGAATTACAAAAACATATGAAAAAGATTCATTCCAGTCTAGAAAATAATGTTTATGCTGCTAATAGACTACCTATGTACACACATGTACCAACGTATATAATATGCAATTTGGATGCGGATGATAAACCAGGTTCACACTGGGTAGCCATACATATCGATACAAATGGTATCGGCCAATATTTTGATTCATATGGACGAACACCTGAGCGATATCATCTTCAGTTTTTGAAGAGGAATTGTAAGAGGTGGGACTGGAATGTTGATAGGATTCAGAATGATTGGACTTCGGTTTGTAGCGAATATTGCTTAATGTATTTGCTATTTAAGTTTCAGGGATGTTCAATGCATAGTTTTACGAACATATTTACAGGAAACACGCTGTACAATGATAATTTAGTGGATGAGATGTTCCACTCATATTTTGTAAAATGAAAGTAATAAAATTTCGAAATAAAAATGAATGATTGTGTTTTATTGATGATATAGAAAATCAGACAAAATGAAGTTAACAATGAGTAATAGATAAGAACGCCAAAGCAACCGTAATGAGAGAGTTCGAAGCACAATAGATAATGATAACGATAGGCGAACAATGGGACGTTAAGTAATGTAACGATAAGCAAACAAAGGAACGTTAATGAGGGTTCAGAAGCTGATTCTGATTTGCATAACTCCAGAACCACGCATCCTACGCAAAAATGGACTGCAGAAACGTGATCAGAGCATGCCAAAACCTAGGATAGCATACCAAACTTTTTTTTTTTTTTTTTTTTTTTTTTTTTAGGTTTGGTGCCACTCAGATTTTAGATTCCGGGTGATTAGCTTGTTCTGGCGCGTGCGCCAGAACCAGCTAATCACCACTACTAACGCCCTTTAAAAATCCGACGAAACAACTACAGCGTTGTATTTCCCCGTGTGAGTGAGGTTTCCGTCGGCCCAATCCTTCTTCCCTTACCTCATTCCGGCTTCCCCTCCCTCAATCCCTCCGCAAATCTTAAATCGCTGAAAAAGTAATTCCTAAAAGGCAGGCAATGCACGTGCAACGTGCAACATGTCGTGGGTCCGATTACCACGCGGAATAACACTTTGTGAGATTTAAAAAAATGTGGTTTCGGGTCTGGGTGGCTTGTGTACCTACCTATGTGAATTTGTATGTTTGTAAATGCACCCACAACACTGGAGGAAATTCTATTGTGGAGCAAAGATTTTCTAAAAAATGCACTCACAATAATTACTTACCGTCAGGTAATCCGTCTGCTCGTTAGCCGTTAATCTGTAGCTGATATCCTATCACTACACACAAAACCACAGATTTGACAGAGACGGGCGGCAGCGTTCCCTGATAAATCAGATTTTTTAAAACTGTCATCTCCAGATCTCCACCCTGACCCTTAGTAGCGTTAAAATAATGGCAATTCCTTATGTATGAAGGAGGGGGCCTTCATGCAGAAGGTCCATAAGCCAGCATTGCTAATCTTACGAGCTGGTGGATGATAAAATGTACCGACGACACTGTCGTATCAGTCCCAGACGGAAATAGGTACGACGCTATAAACATAGGTACGAAGCTTCTCGAAATAAAATTCGTTTTGAATTATTCAGGTACAAGTCTATGAATTGTGTAGTGTATAATTTAATGTTACGTTATTCATTAGACGGGAATAAAGTTTTAAAGGAATAAAGGTTTATGTTCCTTTTGACTCATCATCATCTTCCTGCCCTTGTCCCATTTTATTTGGGGTCGGCGCAATATGTTTTTTTCTTCCATTCTGTCCTGTCACTCGTCACGCTATCGCTAACTCCTCTGTCTTCCATATCACTTCTCACACAATCCATCCATATTTTCTTTGGTCTCCCCCTTCCTCTCCATCCATCCACATTTATACACATGACTTTTTTTGTTACATGCTTTTCATCCCTCCTTTTCACATGGCCATACCAAGACAAACGGTTCCCTTTCAACTTTTCAGTCACTGGCGCCATTTTTTAACTTCCTCTAATATACTCATTTCTCACTTTAGCCATTCTCGTCACACCACACATCCATCTCAGCATTCTCATCTCTGCTACATGCAATCGCTTTTCATCCGTCTTTTTCAGAGCCCAACATTCTGACCTTTTCCTTTTGACCCAAAGAAATTTAAAAATGAAAATGTGGTCGAAATTAGATTTTTAATATTCTGATACAAGATATCAGAATGCAATCGCTTTTCATCCGTCTTTTTCAGAGCCCAACATTCTGACCTTTGAATGCTCCTTTTGACCCAAAGAAATTTAAAAATGAAAATGTGGTCGAAATCAGATTTTTAATATTCTGATATCTTGGCACCAGATTTTAGTTTTTGAAAATTAAAGTTATAGTTGTTCAAAACAGTATGCATAGATTTTATATTAGACATTTGAAATGAATTTTCGTGCCTTATATTTTATCTGGCATCGTATCGTAAGAGTACCTACTTCCCTACATTACTTAAAATACCTACCTTATTATTATGGGAAGGTAATCAGCATCTACAGTTAATAGGTTATATATAAGTTTATTTTCTGACAAGTTTTTCACAAATTTCAACCTACCCTTGCTTGCTGCCTTTTCATAGCCAGACCCAAGCTTAATATAAGCACGTCGTGAATCGCGCGCACCTGTAAGACCCATAAACAAAGAGTACCTATGTAACCATTATATCGTGGTGGTTATATTATCGTCATTGCCCATCAACCACCAAAGATAGAGCACACTGGAATCGATGTAGGCACTGGGCGCGAAACAGAAAAGAGAACTGGATGGTTTTTAGTCTACGAGAGCCTGAACTCCATCGAGGAGGTGGGGATCATTCGACGATTTCCCCCTCAAAGATAGCCTGGTCATCCATAGAGAACAGAACAATGCGGTTCTCAAAGCAAAAAAATGCGAGTCACACAAATATGTGAGTTGCTGTACCAGCATAGTGGTATTTTCCGTCTCTACCATAAAGGAGATCTAAAGTGGAGATGGTATGTAACAAGCAGAACATGTAATATCTAATCCAGGGAGTTCTAGTAATGAATGCGTTCGTAAATAAACCGGCAGCGTCAGACAGCGCATTCACGTCAACCATTAGGCAATATATGTCACGGCTGTCTCGAAACGTGCAACCCCATGTATTTCATGTAACCAGAGCCATTCATAATGAGTGAACAATGATGATCGTGCACTCCCCAACCCGTGCGCCGCCGCCGGCCGCAGCGTCGTCGTACAACCGCACGTTTTGCACGTAACGAATTCCTAACCCGTGCACGTTTGAACGCATTAATCCCTTATATTGAACACGCCAACGGAAATAAACCAGCCTCGTGTTGTGAGGTTTCGTTCCAAGTAACTTGGAATTTGTACAGACTTTATATTTGGACTAGTTGAATAACAAGTTACAAGAATAAATTACTTATACAAAAGACGACGCCTCCTTTAGATGAAAAGATTTACCTTGTTTCGTTGAGAAATTATTATTTTTTGTTATAAAACCCCCTAGTCCTTAGTTACTTGCTAATGTATTTGTGGTTGTTGCTTATATAAATTAAGTTCAAACTGTTACGATTGGACTGGTTTGTGCAATCATTTTAATTTCTAGAGTGAATAATAAAATAAATGTTTCGAATGAGGCTTCGATTTTCAAAAAGGAAAAAAAGAAAAACTGGAACTGTCGTCTGACTAAAAATAACTTCATCATTTTCCAACTTCTTATGTCATTCCTAACATACTCAATGAATACTAGGATCTGTATTTTTCATTTAGCATATTTGGTAGTTTTCCGTAGACACAAAAAGGTTGTTAATTATTAACTTTGCTTTCCTACTACATAGATTTTATAGCATTAGTCAAGCCAGTCAGTTGTTACTACTTGCTATGAACTCTTCATCAGACAATGTTGATCATTGTTGTATGAGATCATCAGACACGGATCGAGACCTAGACAGTTGCGTCATTATTCACAGATGTAGTCTCGTGGTAGCCAGCGTGATGTCCAGCCTATTTTCCTATAATCGTATGCAGATACTCAATAGTTTGCAATGGAAAATAAATAACTGTGTCTTATAATAATAAAGACTAATTTGGCGGGAATCCCAACTGTTCAGTGTGTGGAACTATGAGTCCTATTGCAGTTGATGTTGGAGTTACTTGTAGGATTACTTTACGTCACATTATTACGCATTGAATGCTGCTTGACTTAACTACGTCTCTATTTGAGCCGTTTTACTACGTACGTTTCCTGTAAGAAAATTATATAATGTAAACCTAAAATTTTAAGTTATTTTTAAAATGTAATCAATCATCAGTAGATACCAATTACATATAAGTTTTCGCAAATAGCCAGGAACAGATACTTTTTACAAGGTAAGTATGTTTTTATAACTTGGAATAAGTAATTAATGCAAACTTTAATATTCATAGAGGTCATTTATACTTAGTTATAGTAACTCGTAATAATTATAGAACTGCCTTCGACGTATTTATCATAGTAGGCGCCTGCCTATTCCGATAACTATAAGAATAAAATATATTAAAATACCTATGCTTTCCCTTGATACTACCATTAATTTTTAAATTGTCATTATCAGGAGACATAACTACTACATTTTTTAAATTACTTACTAACTGATTACGCACGTGAATTAACCGAGAAAAGCTCTAATCGTTTACGAGTACGACACGCACGCTGCTCATGACTAAGAGTCCCGTTGTGACTTGAAACTAGTAGAGCATTTCTCAGTTCATGAGCATGCATCATGAGCTAAACGTTATTCTATCTGAAAGCGAGACTCTTCGTTTCCTTAGCATGCAAGATTTTTATTTATTCTTATCGGGTACAACAGAGCAAACATTATGTAGGTAAAACAGGCATGGAAATTGATCATCTGCGGACCCCCAAAACAAGAGGTGTTGCAAGTGCATTGCTGATTTTTTTTTTTTTTTTTTTACTTGCAATAAACCAGTGCTTGACTGCGATCCCACCTGATGTTAAGCAGTGATGCAATCGTTGATAGTAAGGCGCACTAGTTTATTAAGAGCCTATTCACTCTAGCCTTGAAGACACCTAAGTTGTATTCGGACGGAAAGACTGCAGCCGGCAAACTGTTCCAATCCCTCGATGTACGCGGTATAAATGACGAGGCAAAACGCTTAGTCCGGGCCGCAGGTGTCTCAACAACGTAGGGGTGGATATTCGCCGTACGCCGGGATGTCCGAAGGTGAAATTGGGATGGCGGAATCAAATCGTGCAATGCATGATTTGCGTTAGCCAAGCTTGGCCAACCAGGTCTACGAACTTTACGTTTTAATAAAACGTAAGTAAGTTCGTAAGTAATATGTGTGTTAGTATCCTTAAAAGTACTCGTTTCTGGGACTAGGAATATAGGAATTTAATAATCTACGAATATAGGAAATTTCTTCGTCAATATTATGCTTCAAGTAGGTAGGTTTGGCGTCCTCCGTTGAAGAGGTTTTAGCTTTTCTTTTCAAAAAAAAACACAAGTGAGGTTTTGGGTTAGCTATTTCTTTGGCCAGAAAATTAAAATTGTCTTCTTTGTGGCAAAGCTTTCAGTCTTCTGGTATCGTTCCCTGATGATAGTGAACCTCATCAGGTTATCAGATGTTCACATGGTTAAGCTGACTTTAGAATTTTTTATTGTGATAACTCAGCAAGCGAACTTACGGATTACCTGATGGGAAGCAATCGGTACGCGCACGGAGAGTTACGAGTGCGTTGCCGGTCATCAACTTTTTGGGGAATAGGGTTTTGGAGATTTAGGGTAGTATTGGGCCTACTGCTTTTGAATTTTAGTTGACCTTGAAATATAGTCAAGGACCACTTATGTTATATTCTTGTATGTTCTTTTCTTTCACGGGATCACAGGGTCCCGAGAAAGGAAGGCGTACGAGGGGCCCGTTGAACAGTTTTAATCTAAATGTGATGGGACATCAGCCGGTTGATGCAGGACTATTGTGTCATATGGTAGAAAACCATATGGTATGGCTATGGAACGGTGGATGATAACTATGGAAATACTATGGCCCCTGTCCCTGACCAATATTGATACATACGGATAAACAGGCAGGGGGTGACTGGCAAACTCAATTAATGGGCCCCCGGAAACGGCTTCTAGCATGTAGCGACACGGGGGCAACATACGTTAAGCTGCTTGGGGAACGAGAGACATCTCACGGCTATCAGAGCAATCTCGGAAGTACGGTTAAGACCCCTACCAGCATCTTTCTGAGTTACATCCATCCCCCGAGTCTTCTTCAACTCCTACGAATCTCCACTCAAACAAGCCAATTAAGGCAAGATTGAGGTAGGAGGGCTTGTTCCTCATCAGTGTTCACTCCAGCTAGTCATGAGAACTAACCGGAGATGAAGAACATGACACCTCCCGGGAGTCAGGTGCCTGTAAGGGTCTAATTGGAATAAATGATTTTTGACTTTTTTTGACGTGGAGTCGCCACTGCCCAACAGCTCGTAACAAGCTGCCTTGCGGATAATTATTGTTATTATATAAAATTACAGAATACCTGATGTTTTCGTGTAAGTACGTAGGTACCAACTACCCTTTTTTTTTTTGGTTTGGCGGGTATCGCCGAAGCATTCGTCGCAACCCCCCGACGGAGGTACCAACTACCCTAACTTGTAAGTATTGTAAAGTTACTTAAAATAACAAACGTATAAGTTTACGTTACACCAACAAAGGCAACATGTACCTCACGTAAATACCTGTCTACTTTTATTCTCTTTTATCTCTTTTTCTATTATATTGTTGTTTCGTTCCGTGGACCGTCCCCGCTCCTGCCACGCCACGTGCTCATGGCGTGGGCGCTACGTCAACACCACGCCCTCGGAGTCGTGCCCAACTGCCCAACACACGCCTCGATGCTTCAATACTACAATTATTGAAGATGCAACCAGATAAACTAAGAGAATATAGTATCTAGTATACTAACAATACCAACATAACAATTTTATTCCTCAGGTAACATACTGACTATTGAAAAATCTTATTAGCTTTCCCTGCTACGTATTATGTAGTTTTTTTCTTAATTAAACGTTGTTCCACATTATGATTTTTTCTTGTGTCGGGTTTACAAAAATACAATTTCACATACACATGACACCCAGACCTGAAACAACAATTTGTGGATCACACAAGGTGTTCCGTGAGGCATCCAACGCGCGACACGTTGCGCGGCAGCCGAATGCCCAGCCACTGCGCCTGCTGTGCAGTCAGTGTAATGCAACCTATTTCAGACGTAGTACCTAGTTAATGATTTTCTTTTATGATTCTGAACGTTTTTAAAGGAAGAGATTAAGTAAGTAAATTAGAATTATGTGTGTACCTACCTACCTATTACTCAACATGTAAAAATAAATCATCTTCAACGACATTTTGGTTTAAAAAAAAAACAATGACAAATATTATTGAATAACGTAACGTTTATATCGCTAACTATTGTAACAGTCGGGTTTGCCCAGAAGCGCAAGGTATATCGCGCCGCGCGGGGCGGAGCAATCGTCGCGTCACAGCGGTCACGTGCGAGCGAGCGTGGCCCGGCGACGACGGCAGCCACGGCGCGCCCGATCCAAAACCCAATAAAATCTTCGTAGCCGAGCGAAACAGCGCCATTTCGCCCATTATCATACTTCAATACAGCTCTCAGCACACATTAAGGCATTTAAATAGCTAAATATCTTTAATTTGCCCTAGAATTTTGAGTTCACGCATCGGAATGTGCGCCGGCATTCCGACGCCCCCCGTCCATATTTTGACGCCGCCGCCGCGTCACATGACTGAAACCGGCCGGTGTTTGGAGTACATCCGCTCAGAGTGGCCGCGAAGCGCTCACGGTGACGACGTTCTAGCGACACGCTCCATACATGCAGTTAAATACGATAACAACAATTTGTATTCACTGTGATCGTTTATCTAAAATGGATTGCGGCGACCTAACTTAAGTGCAATAGTTTGTGATAAGTGCTGAACAAAACCAACCCGCAAAGGGAATAAAATGTAAACAGACACCTTATATCTGATATTATCATCAGCTATTTTGTGAAACAGTGGTTTGTTGTTTTTGTTGTGCTTACAAATGAATATGGAAACAAGACATTACTGGGAGGAGAACGGGCATTCCGTCAAATATGACAAGTAAGTACGATTTAATAGCTACATTATTTCTTTAAATACGGTATTTTATTTTACAACGAGCCTGTGGCTCGTGACATTTGTTTTGTGGTTTACTTCTTTACAGGGTTATTAAATACAACCTAATTCGCACACTGTACCTAATATTATGGGTAAATTTTGAAATAGAATCCTGTGACAATGTAAGTACAAATTAAAATGACATCGGAACTAAAACCTTCCTTAGGTATTTAGTGTTTTTAACGGTTCAAATAACGTAATAAATTATTAACCTTGCAACAGGTACTCACTTGGATTACCTATCGGTACATTGCTTACTGTGGATTGATAAAAAAGGAAGAAAAACAACTTTCTCACGGCCGACCTTGACCTGAAAATCATTATTCATCATTATTTAATATTTTCGCTCATTTCCAATACTCAATTCGCTTAAATTATTCTTTACAGTTGTCGACATCGCTTTATGAAAGTCAAAGTGTTTTTATTAGGTTTTCATGAATTTTGGCAACATTACGTTAGTTACATTAATTCTATTGCGTGCTATGATCCTGGAATTGAATTTAAATGTGATAAAAGTTTATGAATAATGTATTGGAGTATTTAACAACTAATAAAATTCATAACTTTTTTTCGTATTGTCAAAATTCTAAATCTACAGTTTTATATGTATTTTGTATGAGTTTGTGTTGTAACGTCACGTTATTTTTTGAAACTAATATACATACCTCCTTAAAAAAATGATCGGAATGAGTGAGATAAATTGAACATGTCATTGAAAGAAATTATGTATTTTTGATTGTCAAGTACTTAGTTTTAATATTAATGTATAAAAATATTGGCTACACGAGAATGGACTTGAAAGGCTTGAAGTGAAAAAAAATAACTGTTATAATTCCAGCGTTACCACAGACAGGGAGAGATACCTGCATGATAGTATTTTATCCTTGCCAGTAAGATTTTTATAATAGGTGAAAACGAGTTAGGTAGTAGTTTTGCGCGGATTATCCTGAATTTCTCGATGCAGTCTGGCAATAAAGCAGCAGAAGCAACTGCAAAAATCATTTTTTACGTTTCTTTTTTTAACGTTTCTCATATAAAAATTACAAATGCATTTTGATAAATAAGATAATAGGTACCTACTTATATTACAAACTTCAATTGGTAACAATAAAAAAATAAATCGATAAACTTGACCCAAGAAATTGATTGTAATCAGGATTTGCGGTCATACGCTTACTCGTAATACCTACATAAACGAAAACGATAAACAATTTACCTAAGTAAAATAATTATCTGTTGTTCAAGACATTCGGCGTGCATTACCGCGTGCCATTATTAAGAAAAAAATATCGATTATACTTACTAATTGACTGATTCATTATAATATTTGTTACTTGGCGGTTTAAAATTGCATAATAGACTGTGTTAAGGGCACAGTTTATTTTTTAATTATTTTGGCCAATGTTGTGTAAAAAACGTTCAATTTGGCATTTCTATACAGGTACCTAATTTAAGTATTTCTATGAAATCTTATGAGACCGAATAGGTCCAGTGTTGAACTCGATTCTCTCGGGGGAGGATTTGTCATCGTCTCCTCAGTTAGCAGGTATTTTGGGGATCAAATTATTCAGGAACAGAATTCTATCCATATTATTAAATCTTTCAAAGTTATGTCTTCTCCTACACATTCACAATACGTTTATGTAACATAATTTTCTGCTAACGACCTGCCCCATATAAAACCTCCTCTTCAATTAAGTCATCACTGACGTTTCTCAATATTATGAAAAGTATTAGAAATTTCATTGAATCGTTTGATTATCTTGAGGAGGATTAAATAATAACGTAACAAAGATATAATGTAATTCTTAATCATTGATATAATGAGGTGCTCCACGTAACGGGGAATGTCCTATGACAATAAACAAAAATTCGCTCCGATCCGATACTGATAATAATATCCGTTGTCCCTCTGTTGCTTTTCCGTTGTCCCTCTGTTGCTTTTCCGTTGTCCCTCTGTTGCTTTTCCGTTGTCCCTCTGTTGCTTTTCCGTTGTCCCTCTGTTGCTATTACTAGCAACCATTCCCGGGGGCCCGGTCGGTGAGTTGGCGAGTCTCCACCTGCCATTTTTACGTGTATTTATTACATTGTTTCGGCAGGTGCCATAGTCCTTCCATAGTTCCCATCATACCAGCCCATAGCAACCCACACCCATAGTGTTATCCCTTGTTTCCATTATCCGCAATAGTCCTACACTAACCGGGGACTGTCCTTGGGTGCATTTCCATAGTGCTTACAGGGATAGTCGCCGGTTAGTGTCCCATTTCATTTAGATTAAAGTTGTCTAAAGGGCCTCTGCGCAGTTGGCTCCGGCCCCTCGTACGCCTTCCAAATGACCGGGACCCTGTGGTCCCGTGATTGGTAAAGACATACAAATAATAATAATAATAATAATATATTTATTTGCATAAAATGTGGTACAAGAGTTGGTTTAATATATGTTTTAGAGCTAGACACATTCCGCAGTTATAAGACAGCATGCAAATGTTCAAGTAAAATGCACATTATTGTTTTACATCATTACAATACATTGGTACAAAACGTTCGACATCTTACAGTAAAATACAGAAACACAAAAGTAAAATACAGGTAGGTAAATAACAATTACAATGCATTCCTAAAATGGTAAGACTGAGAAGAATACTTTTTTAGGAACTCATCAACCGAATAAAAACATTCTTCTATCAACCAATTTTTTAGAGTTTTGCAGAACTTCTGATAGGGCAGATCGACTATGTTCTGAGGCAGTGAGTTATAAATTAAAGGCGCCATGTACACACAACTTCGTCTACACATCTCAAGTCGCGGAGCAGGCATTTTTAAATACGAATGAGTGACTTTGCGCTTGTTTGTATTGTTTTTATTTTTAAATAATTTAATATTGGACTTTACAAATTTAGCCACTTCATAAATATAAATGTTAGGGACAGTTAATATTTTTTCTGATGTGAAAATAGGTCTACAAGAGTCCGACCATTTGACATTAAAAATTGCGCGAACACATTTCTTCTGCGCAATAAATACCCGTGCTAAATCTGATGTATATCCCCAAACCACAATCCCATATCGTATAACGGAGCATACATAGGCATGGTAAACCATTAACGATGTGTGTCTTGAACAAGAGTCTTTAATTCTTTTTATAGCAAAGACAGATTTATTAATTTTGTTGCATACGGTATCGATATGATCTTTCCATGTAAGATGTTCATCTACTGTAATACCTAAAAACTTAACGTTATGGACTTGTTCGATGGGTGTGTTATTACAAATAATGTCTAGTTGCTTACATTTGCTTTTATAAGATCTGAATTTAATAATTTTTGTTTTGTCTAAATTTATTTTTAATGCATTGATATCAAGCCATTTAGTAATTTCTTTTAGTGTTTGATGTATCTCGGCTATATAATTTTTTTCATCTTTGCAACTTAATATTACAGATGTATCATCAGCAAATAGGACGCATTCATGATTGTGGACTACTTGAGGAAAATCATTTACATAAATTAGAAATAGTAGGGGACCTAGAATACTCCCCTGGGGAACTCCAAAGTAATTGAATCTGGGACTGGAATCATGGCTCTCAAGAAAATTGGTTTTACTATTAAATTTAGTTATTCTTGTTATTTGTGTTCTACCATTTAGGTATGATTTAAACCAATCTAAAGCTATTCCCCTTATGCCATATTTATCTAATTTGTTTATTAGTCTAGTATGATCAACAACATCAAAGGCTTTACTTAAATCTAGAAAGAGAACAATAGGAGATATTTTAATATTTATGTTGTCCATTATTGAATTAATTAGACTAAATGCTGCCAGCTGAGTGGACTTACCTTTTCGAAAACCAAACTGTTCGTTGCTGAGGACATTATTTTTATTTAAAAAATTTAGTGTTCTCTTATAAATAACCTTTTCAAAAATTTTAGAGATAATGGATATCAGTGCGATAGGGCGATAATTATTTTTATCGGTTTTGGAATTCTTTTTATGTAAAGGTTTGATTATTGAAACCTTCATTTTATCTGGGAAACAGCCTTGTTCTAGCGACAGGTTAATGATGTAAGATAAGGGATGTGCAATGGACTGTGCTGTAAGTTTAATAAGATCTGTTGTGATATTGTCATAGCCAGATGATTTCGTATTTTTCAAGGACTTGATTATATGATAAATTTCTAATGGATTAGATGGCTCAAGAAAAATGCTGTGATTACTTGTGTTAATATTAGATATACCATTCTGTTCAGTACTAATATTCTTTTCAACAATATCTATAAAAAAGTTATTAAATATGTTAGCAATGTCTGAACCAGATGTATTTAGGACATTGCTATCGTCAATAAGCCCTTCAATGTAATCCCTTGAGGTTTCATGGCCAGTAGTACGTTTTACCACATCCCATGTAGCTTTGCCTTTATTGTTGGAGTTATTTATATGTTTTTGATTATTCAACGATTGTAAATTATTTATACATTTTTTTAGAACATTAGAGTATTTTTTAAATATTTGTTTGTTTTCATCTGTTCTATTATGATAATACCTGTATCTTAACAACCTTTTTGTTTTAGCACTTAACTTAAGTCCTTTTGAGATCCATTTCAATTTAGAAGTTTTATGTTTAACCTTAACCTTAATATTCGGAAAGCATAGTTTATAAAACAATGTAAATAATTCATGGAAACTATCAAAAGCGTCGTTAGCTTGGTGAAAGTCATAGACTTCGGAAAAGGATAAGTTGCTAATATAGTCTACAAATTTTGTCATGTTTTCTTTGCTGAGATCATGCTTATCAACGAAGTAATAATTTGTTGTACTCTTTTTTTGGTATTTAAATTCTATGACTTGAGCTGTGTTATGATCAGATAAGCAAAGATTATGTGTGTTGCCAACTGCTCTCGGAATATTACTTACTATATTATCGATGCAAGTATTTAGCCTAGTGG